GTGCCACAGCTTTATTGATTCATCTGTCGATGGACACTTAGGTTGCTTCCATGTCCTGGCTATTGTAAACAGTGCTGCAATGAACACTGTGGTACATGTCGCTTTTTGAATTATGGCTTCCTCAGGGTATATGTCTGGTAGTAGGATTGCTGGGTCAGATGGTAGTTCTATTTTTAGTTTTTTAAGGAACCTCCATACTGTTCTCCACAGTGGCTGTATCAATTTACATTCCCATCAACAGTGCAAGAGGGCTCCCTTTTCTCCACACCCTCTCCAGCATTTATTGTTTGTAGATTTTTTGATGATGGCCATTCTGGCCGGTGTGAGGTGATATCTCATTGTAGTTTTGATGTGCATTTCTCTAATGATTAGTGATGCTGAGCATCTTTTCATGTGTCTGTTGGCAATCTGTGTATCTTTGGAGAAATGTCTATCTAGGTCTTCTGCCCATTTTTGGATTGGGTCGTTTGTTTTTCTGATATTGAGCCGCATGAGCTCCTTGTATATCTTGGAGATTAATCCTTTGTCTGTTGCTTCATTTGCAAATATTTTCTCCCATTCTGAGGGTTGCCTTTTCATCTTGTTTATGGTTTCCTTTGCTGTGCAAAAGCTTTTGAGTTTCATTAGGTCCCATTTGTTTATTTGTGTTTTTATTTCCATTTCTCTAGGAGGTGGGTCAAAAAGGATCTTGCTGTGATTTATGTCATAGAGAGTTCTGCCTGTGTTTTCCTTTAAGAGTTTTATAGTGTCTGGCCTTATATTTAGGTCTTTAATCCATTTTGAGTTTATTTTTGCGTATGGTGTTAGGAAGTGTTCTAATGTCATTCTTTTACATGTAGCTGTCCAGTTTTCACCACTTACCGAAGAGGCTGTCATTTCGCCATTGTACACGCTTGCCTCCTTTATCAAAGATAAGGTGACCATACGTGCATGGGTTTATCTCTGGGCTTTCCATCCATATTTTAATATAGTTCAACATAGTTTTTGTGCCAGTACCATACTGTCTTGATTACTGTAGCTTTTTAGTATAGTCTGAAGTCAGGGAGCCTGATTCCTCTAGCTCCATTTTTCTTTCTCAAGGTTGCTTTGGCTATTTGGGGTCCTTAGTGTTTCCACACAAATTGTACAATTTTTTGTTCAAGTTCTGTGAAAAATGCCATTGGTAGTATGATACGGATTGCACTGAATCTGTAGATTGCTTTGGGTAGTATAGTCATTTTCACAATGTTGATTCTTCCAATCCAAGAACATAGTGTATCTCTCCATCTGTTTGTATCACCTTTAATTTCTTTCATCAGTGTCTTATAGTTTTCTGCATAGAGGTCTTTTGTCTCCTTAGGTAGGTTTATTCCTAGGTATTTTATTCTTTTTGTTGGAATGGTAAATGGGAGTGTTTCCTTAATTTCTCTTTCAGATTTTTCATCGTTCGTGTACAGGAATGCAAGAGATTTCTGTGCATTAATTTTGTATCCTGCTACTCTACCAAATTCGTTGATTAGCTCTAGTAGCATCTTTAGGATTCTCTATGTATAGTGTCATGTCTGCAAACAATGACAGTTTTACTTCTTTTCCTATTTGGATTCCTTTTATTTCTGTTTCTTCTCTGATTGCTGTGGCTAAAACTTCCAAAACTATGTTGAATAACAGTGGTGAGAGTGGGCAACTTTGTCTTGTTCCTGATCTTAGAGGAAATGGTTTCAGTTTTTCACCATTGAGAACGATGTTGGCTGTGGGTTTGTCGTATATGGCCTTTATTATATTGAGGTAGGTTCCCTCTATTCCTACTTTCTGGAGAGTTTTTATTATAAATAGGTGTTGAATTTTGTCAAAAGCTTTTTCTGCATCTACTGAGATTATCACATGGTTTTTATCCTTCAATTTGTTAATATGGTGTGTCACATTGACTGATTTGCATATATTGAAGAATCCTTGCATCCCTGGGATGAACCCCACTTGATCATGGTGTATGACCCTTTTAATGTGCTGTTGGATTGTGTTTGCTAGTATTCTGCTGAGGATTTTTGCATCTATATTCATCAGAGATATTGGCCTGTAGTTTTCTTTTTTTGTGACATCTTCATCTGGTTTTGGTATCAGGGTGATGGTGGCCTCATAAAATGAGTTTGGGAGTGTTCCCCCCTCTGCTAGATTTTGGAAGAGTTTGAGAAGGATAGGTGTTAGCTCTTCTCTAAATGTTTGACAGAATTCACCTGTGAAGCCGTCTGGTCCTGGGCTTTTGTTTGTTGGAAGATTTTTAATCACAGTTTCAATTTCAGTGCTTGTGATGGGTCTGTTTATATTTTCTATCTCTTCCTGGTTCAGTCTCAGAAGGTTGTGCTTTTCTAAGAATTTGTCCATGTCTTCCAGGTTGTCCATTTTATTGGCATATAGTTGCTTGTAGTAATCTCTCATGATCCTTTGTATTTCTGCAGTGTCAGTTGTTACTTCTCCTTTTTCATTTCTAATTCTGTTGATTTGAGTTTTCTCCCTGTTTTTCTTGATGAGTCTAATGGTTTATCAGTTTTGTTTATCTTCTCAAAGAACCAGCTCTTAGTTTTATTGATCTTTGCTACTGCTTCCTTCATTTCTTTTTCATTTATTTCTGATTTGATCTTTATGATTTCTTTCCTTCTGCTAACTTTGGGGGCTTTTTGTTCTTCTTTCTCTAACTGCTTTAGGTGTAAGGTTAGGTTGTTGAGATTTTTCTTGTTTCTTGAGGTAGGATTGTATTGCTATAGACTTCCCTCTTAGAACTGCTTTTGCTGCATCCCATAGGTTTTGGGTCGTCGTGTTCTCATTGTCATTTGTTTCTAGGTATTTTTTGCCTTCCTCTTTGATTTCTTCAGTGATCTCTTGGTTATTTAGTAGCATATTGTTTAGCCTCCATGTGTTTGTATTTCTTACAGTTTTTTTCCTGTAATTGATATCTAGTCTCATAGCGTTGTGGTCGGAAAAGATACTTGATACGATTTCAATTTTCTTAAATTTACCAAGGCTTGATTGTGACCCAAGATATGGTCTATCTTGGAGAATGTTCCATGAGCACTTGAGAAGAAAGTGTATCCTGTTGTTTTCAGATGGAATGTGCTATAAATACCAATTAAGTCCATCTTGTTTAATGTGTCATTTAAAGCTTGTGTTTCCTTATTTATTTTCATTTTGGATGATCTGTCCATTGGAGAAAGTGGGGTGTTAAAGTCCCCTACTATGATTGTGTTACTGTCAGTTTCCCCTTTTATAGCTGTTAGCATTTGCCTTATGTACTGAGGTGCTCCTGTGTTGGGTGCATATATGTTTATAATTGTTTTATCTTCTTCTTGGATTGATCCCTTGATCATTATGTAGTGTCCTTCTTTGTCTCTTGTAATAGTCTTTATTTTAAAGTCTATTTTGTCTGATATGAGAATTGCTACTCCAGCCTTCTTTTGATTTCCATTTGCATGGAATATCTTTTTCCATCCCCTCACTTTCAGTCTGTATGTGTCCTTAGGTCTGAATGAAGTGGGTCTCTTGTAGACAGTGTATATACGGGTCTTGTTTTTGTATCCATTCCGCCAGCCTGTGTCTTTTGGTTGGAGCATTTAATCCATTTACATTTAAGGTAATTATCGATATGTATGTTCCTATTACCATTTTCTCAATTGTTTTGGGTTTGTTATTGTAGGCCTTTTCCTTCTCTTGTGTTTCCTGCCTAGAGAAGTCCCTTTAGCATTTGTTGTAAAGCTGGTTTGGTGGTGCTGAATTCTCTTAACTTTTGCTTATCTGTAAAGGTTTTAATTTCTCCATAGAATCTGAATGAGATCCTTGCTGGGTAGAGTAATCTTGGTTGTAGGTTTTTCCCTTTCATCACTTTAAGTATGTCCTGCCTGCACCCATTTTTAAATGAACATTTTGATGAGTTTAAATGAATGCAGCTACCACTACAATCGAGACGTAGAACATTTCCATCACCTCAAAAGTTCCCTCATGCTCCTATGCAATCAGTCCACATCTCCACCCTGGCTCCAGGCAACCACTGAGTGCCCTCTGTCAAGATACCCATCTTTATATTTTTTCTAGTATAAAAAAAGGTTCACTTAATATTTGGAAAATTTAAAACACACACACACACACGCACACACACACACACACACACACACAGTAGAAGAGTATAATGAAAGTGATTTACCCAACACTCAGCTTCAACGATTTTTAATGCATGACCAATCCTGTCTCATCTATACTCCTGCCCACGCCCCTGCATGGATTATTTTGAAGAAAATCCCAGACATTATTTCTCTTCACATGTAAATACTTCAGTATATATCTCTGAAGGATATTCTTTTAAAACATATCCATAATACCATTTTCACGCTTAATTAAAAATAAGCTTCTCAATACCATGAAATAATCAATCAGTACCTGCATTTCCCAGATTGCCTCACATTTTTTCCTTCATTATGTTTGTCTGAATCAGATCCATATATTACTATTGGTTCATTCATCTCTTAAGTCCCTTTTTATCTATAGGTGTCCCCTCCATCTTTTCTCCCCCACCCCCTTATAATTTATTTGTTGAAGAAACTAGTTTGTCCTATAAAGCACCTGCAGTTTGGAATTTGCTGACTGCTTCCCTAAAAAACATTTACCAAGTTTCTGTCCCTTGTATTCCCTACAAATTTGTAATAAGATCTAGAAGTTGTAACAAATTCAGGTTCTGTTATAGCTGGCAAGGCTACATTATGGGCGGTATCGTGGACCTCTATCAGGAGACACATATCATGTTCCATATTCTCTTTGTCTCACGTTTTGAAAACCATAGGCTTTTCCTCAACTAACTGAAAAGAAAAGCATTTATGATAGTTTATAAGATTCATATAATCTAGAAAAGTGTAAAAGTATAGGACATCGACCCCCATTTTAACAGACTGATTCTGGACAGTGGTGTTCCTACAAAGGAAAAATAGGCTTTGAGTCACTGTCTCAGATGGTTCCATCCATCATATCCACCTATCACTTACTTGAAGTCACACACTGAACACACGCTGCCACGTCCGTCTTCTGCGCATGTCTTATCTCCGAGAGGAGAGGTGCAGAGGTGGCCTCTCCTCCACCCTCATCACTGGCTCTGCACACAGGTATCACCCAGGCAAGAGTGACCACCATACGCTTCTCCGCTGAGGAAAGGCCCTTCTCTATCCCTGATGAGGTCCGCCTCCTTCATCAGCTCTTTACAACCTTCCTCCAGAGCCAGCGACATCCAGATTTTACCAATCAGAAAACAGAGGTGCAGAGAAGAAATATGAAGAGTGAATCGGTGGAAGTTTACCATGAGAAATCACAGATCACTGGTTGTTCGGAGAAACCTGCTGAGTTGCATGTGTTTCTACTTTAATGCCTCCTCCTTCCCTTCAGGGAGATGCGTGAGTCTAAACAATCTGAGTCTCTGAGGGAAAGGGCTGTGGATGCTGTTTACACAAGGAACCAGAGGGCCCGGTAAAGTGACCTTCCTGCTCTCTTTGGCAGGGCAAGTCCCTGCTTGACAAGAACTAAGTTATCACAAAAGAGAATAAGAATCAGTTAAATTAAAGAGATAACCTGGGACATTTGGGATGGGGAAGAGGAAAGCAAGTTTACATTCCAACCTCACCCAAGTCCAGGGGAGAGGCCCACTGTTACTGAGCCATGAGGAGGAAGTTAGAGTCACTGGCAGGACGACTGGGGCCTCTCTCTTTTTCCCACTCTGATAAACCCTCAGCCACCTGCAGCACGATGTTGCACTAACAGCTACAGGGCCCTCCACTGCCAGCCACCTCCTACTCATCTCCGTGCTGGGCTGGTTCTCACTGCCTCCAGAAGTAAGAGTTAGAATATGATAATTATTGTGCCAGTAACTACTGCCTGGTAACGTAAGTTCCAGAAGCACAGGCCTCTGCTTACAAACAGCATAACCTTCAGTACAAAAGGATCGAGTTCTCCCTCATCCTGGCCCCCACCTCTGGACAAGCACAGATTAAATTAAGAATTCTCAAAATTCCCAACGGTGTCAAGCACATTTAAAGCTGCCGGGTCAAAGATCCATTTTTGCAGCAGACAACCACAAAGGATTTCAGTGTTACATACAGTGGAAATGATTGCAAGAAATTCTAAATATGGACAGACCAGTAATTTAAATTCTTTTTCTAATGGCTAATACTTCCTTTCCAGTTCAATATCTGATTCTAAGTCAGGCTCCAATTAAGGAAAGCAAGACCCAGTTTTCTGGTTCCACTGGGATTTACTTGTTCAGGGATTACCTGGCTGCATGTCCTGAGTCTGTTTCCAGTCAGTGCTCTGCTGGGAACCCTGTGGTGACTAACAAACGTGTTTCAGCAGAAGGAAACACCCTGATTACTAGCAGTCCAGGGCAAAGTAAAGCCCAAACAAGGAACTCTCACTCCTGGTCTGGTGCTTTCCCCTGCAGGCCACTACTGCTGCGTCAAACCAGCCGGCTGTGTGAAGCTGGTAAATCAACCTACCTAGGTTTTGATTTCCTTTCTTCTAGCAGCTTCACTCATAACAGCCAAAACCACCCAGAAGTCCACCGATAAAGAGACAGACAAGGAAAAACAATGGCCCCTCTTCCTCAACTGGATATTCTGGTGTCTATCTGTGACACCTGGAATGGCGACAGACCACCTGAGACCACGGGAGCAGCCAGGACAAGCCAGTGTTCTGGGGATGGCAGGGCAGGAAGAAAAAAAATGAACGTGGCTCCCCAGCTGCTGAATTAACCAGCTTTGGAGTCACCCTACCTCCAGACTTCCTGCTGTCTGAAATACTGCCTGTGTGTTTAAGTCACTGAGTTGGCTCTTCTGTTTTTCTTGAAGGTAAAAGCATTCCAACCGATGACACTTATTGACCTAAAAGGTTGCACACCACTAGCTACTTGCAGCAATGAAAGGCAGAACTGGATCTCTATAATTAAAACAAAAAAACAAGAAAGCAAAACGAAATACCCCATTCTTGTCATTAAAACATGAGAAAGACTTTGGGACAGGTAAAGAGCAAGGTTACGAGGAAAAATACAGTAAGTGAATCCACACGTTTAACAATTCAATAAATAAACTTGGACCCGGAAACTGGCCTGTATGAACTGATTGTGCTTCATTTCAGAAATATTCATTAGAAGACGATGACTTTACATACGGTACTTATGTGTGCAACAATCCTCTGAGAATAGTCACACTATTCCTATTTTACAAATGAGAAAACTGAAGCACAGAGAAGCTAAGTAACTGGCCAAAGTCACTCCATCCATGCACTTTTCTCCACCTGGAACTCTCCCCTTTCTGCCCTTCGCTAACTCCTACACATCTTCCAGGTTCCAACTTGAATAAACATCACTTCCGAGACTTCCCTGGTAGCGCAGTGGTTAAGAATCCGTCTGCCAATGCAGACGACATGGGTTCAATCCCTGGTCCGGGAAGATCCCACATGCCACGGAGCAACTAAGCCCGTGCGCCACAACTACCGAGCCCACATGCCACAACTACTGAAGCCTGCGAGCCTAGAGCCCACACTCCGCAACAAAGAGAAGCCACCACAATGAGAAGCCCATGCACCGCAACGAAGAGTAGCCCCTGCTCACCGCAACTAGAGAAAGCCCGCGTGCAGCAGCGGAGACCCAATGTGGCCATAAATAAATAAATTTATTAAAAAAACAAAACAAAACAAACCAGAAACATCACTTCCTTAGAAGAAGGCTTCTTTGATGTGTCCAGACAAGGTCCAAAGCTCCTTGTACACTCCACTACGTGCAATGCTCTACTGAAGCACTGTGTGTACTCGCGATTATGTAAATATTTGTCTTCCCCAAATGTACAGGATGTACATGCCCTGAGAACAGGTCTTTCTTGTCCACCACCACACGACATTTCCAAAGCTGAGCAGAACACCTTGCCCTTAAGAGGCTCACAGTCTGAGAGACTGCAAATGAACAGTCCCTTCCAACACAATGCGGGAGGCGGACAGAGGTGTGCATAGGGCTCTATGGAAGCAAAAGACAGTGGGTCGGGGGGAAGCTTCATGGAGGAGAATCCCCCAAGCAGAGCCCTGAAGGACAAGGAAGTTGGGAGGAAAAGAACTGAGGACAAGGGTGTCCTAGGCGGGCAGAGCATTAGGTATATCTTTAGAGAAGAAAGCGGCCATGGAATTTTAGGGGAACTACGAGCTCACTATGGCTGGAGTCTGAGATCAGACAGAGATAAATGAAGCTTGAGAGACAGCAAGATTCAGTTCGATATTCAGAGATAGCAATACGTTGTAAAGATCCCTAAAATAATCCAATAACAATGGATATGATGGAAGCGCTCATTGTACATCAGGCACCATGCTAAGTACCTCATATGTATAATTTCATCTTCACAACCACCCTGAGCATTATTACTCCCACGAGGAGTAATAAGATCACACACAGCTAGCTAGCTAGTAATAAGGTCACACACAGCTAGCAAATGGCAAAGCCAGGCTCTGAACCGCAGCTGTATTACATGGCTCCAAAGCCTGTGCTCTTAACCACAGTCTAATCCTTGTCTAGCTCACTGTGCACTGACATGATCTTATATAGTTGTATGTAATTCAAATAATTACCTTGATCCTACTAGGAGAGCTGGCTATTTAAGGAATCCCATGTCTTTTTCATTAAGCTAATCATAAACACAAATATTTCATACATTGAGATTGTTTAAAATAAAGTATATAATTAGTGTTCAATAGGCTTTTTTCTTTTTCGGCTGTGTTGGGTCTTCGCTGCTGCACACGGGCTTTTCTCTAGTTGTGGCGAGCAGGGGTTACTCTTTGCTGCGGTGCACGGGCTTCTCGTTGCGGTGGCTTCTCTGGTTGCAGAGCACAGTCTCTAGGCATGCGGGCTTCAGTAGTGTGGTGCGCGGGCTCCAGAGCGCAGGCTCAGTAGCTGTGGCACACGGGCCCAAATGCTCCGCGGCACGTGGGATCATCCTGGACCAGGGCTCGAACCTGTGTCCCCTGCATCGGCAGGCAGATTCTTAACCACAGTGCCACCAGGGAAGCCCTTTTCAATAGACTTTTTAAAATGAAGATCAAATGAAAATTATTCAGAGACAGAAAATGCAGTGTCTTGACTGATGTTCCAATACTGTCTCTAGAATTACGTTACCTCTAAACCATCAAAAATTATGCTAAGCAAACACTAGAACTTCTAAGTCGCCTCATCAAAACTAACCTTCCTAAGGAGAATTAAACTTATTAATTAAACAACTCAATCAATTATTGAGAATGGGTGGAAAGAAAAGAAAGTAGCTAAGACAGAGGAAAGATGCTATGACACACGAAATCTCTTTTCCCCACTATCATTCGCTTTAAGCATAGAAATTGTCACTGAATGTGTTTACAAGGCAAGATAAACAGTCTATGTGCCAATTCCGGTTAAAACATGAGCAGAAATTTTATCAGTTAGGGAAAGTCTTGGTTCAAAGAACTCAGTTTTTTCGGAAGCCGTTCAGCAAAAATGCAAATGTACTAAGTCACAGTTGATGGGCTATTAATAAATCATTAAAGCAAACTGCTGGGAGATCTTTGCTTTTTTAAATGTCTCATAATGTACAGTAAGAGTTCACAGACTGACAATAATTATCATAGTTATACCAGATTAAACATTTATTAGTGCCAGGAGTTTTAAGAACAAGTGCTCACTTCATTCTTACAGCCTCGCTTTCGTATGAGCTAACTAAGGCACAGAGAGTTTAGATCAATTGCTCAAGGTCACCTGGGTAGGAAGTGACAGAGCCAGGATGTACACACAGGTCTGTCTGATGCCGAAGTGCATGCTCCTTCCACCAAGCAGCATCATCTCTACTGGGCTGAAAGGTGCCTAGAGATTATCTGATTTATTCACCACTCAACCCTATCATGTAAAGAGACCTGTAGGGAGGGTGAAGGACTTTCCTTACTTAGGTCCTTTGGCTAGTTTACAGCACAACTGGGAGTGAACCCCAGATTTCCGACTCTGAGGCAAGCACAGTCTGTAATCATTTTGACTCATACCAGATACTTTCTTTTTGAGAAATATTAAAAATTTCCCCATGAAACAGACAAAACAAGAATGATGTATGTAAATGCCTGTCACTGTGCCTCGAGCTATGGATGCATCATGTTTTCGTGGGAGACAGGACAAGAGACGCCTCAAACATTTCCTGTGCATTACTTGCAACCAGCTAACAGAAGATAACAGGATTTCATGCATTCCTTTCCACCACCATCATTTTTGCCGCCTCCTGCCTTTCAGTAGGGCATTAAAAGCACGTTAGTGAGGGAAAAAAGCAGCCAATGAGCCTGGTGATGTTCCAATAAAGTTTAATATTTGGACTCAAAAATTTGAATTTCATATAATTTTCACAGGCCGTGAAATATTATTCTTGATTTTTCCCAACTACTTAAGAAGCTACAGCTTTCAGGCTATAGAAAAACAGGTAGTGGGCCAGAGGGCATATGCTGACCCTGCATTAAAACAAAGAAGTAAAAGGCAGAAGTGATCAAAGGAAAAGCAGTTTGCAACAAAGCAAGGCTACGGCCTTCTTCTTGACTCAGCTCTGGAGCCACTGATTCAGGAGGCCTTGGGCCATCCCCACTCCCACTTGGGGCAGGTGTCCCACTTTTGTGGTCTTCCTGAAACTTGGGTCTATCTCTATCCTAACACTTACCATAATATGTTCAATCAATCATTTGTATGTGCTTTTGTTTGTTTTCAAGTCTGTATTCCTAGCCGATGTGGATGCTCAAAAATAGCGGGGGTAAGGGCGATAAGGAAAATAAAAAGGAATAAGCTCAGAAATTCTTATCTTTATACAGACACTAGATATCAGCACAGGGTCTTGACAGGGGTTCCATGACATACACCTACGGAGTTAAATCAGTGGTTCAGCTACTTTCTGTATCTGTTAACAATCTATGTTGCTTATGCCCTATACATATGCACCAACCCCTCCATCTAGTCTCTATACTTATACCTCCCTCAAGCCAGGCATCGGACTAACTTGTTTAGACTAATCTGCATGAAAAAGATCCAAGCATAAATTTAAAATGACCACTGAGTCTCCAGAAAGGCTCGGGGTACCCTGGGGGTCTGCAGAACACAAATGGAAAAGCTACTGTCCTATAACACTAGCCTCAAAAATGAATGATGAAAAAAATAAAATAAAATAAATGAATGATGGCTTCAAATCATTTGAAGAAAATCTGAAAAGCCACAATTACCAGATATAACGTGAAAATCAACATGGAAAAGTCTACTTCATCATTATCACATAAAGCATAAAAGAGAAACAAGTATATTTCAATCACACATGGTCGGGTGGATGACCCTGTACTGTGGGATCATTAACCTTCTCTGTGCCGGGGGGCCCTCTGGCAGTCCGGAGAAGCCAGCAGATCCCTGCTCAGAACAATGTTTTCGAATACATAAGACAGTGTGCGTAGTTTAAAAAAGGAAACCAGTTATAATAATTAGCCCACACTACCTCCCCCGACACTTCCTGTCTCCTTTCCCTGCTTTATTTTTTCTGCTTAGTGTTTGTCACTATCTAACACGCTATGCCTATTTTACTTCTGTTCTCTTATTTAGTAGATGTCTTCCCAACTAGAACCTTGTTCCCATGAGTGCAGGCAAGCTTATCTATTTTGTTTACCACTCTATTTCCAAAACCTACAAAATGCCTGGTAGCTAACAGATGCCCAATAAATATACTCTGAATTAGTAAATAAACCTCTTGTCTCCTAAGAGCTATTACTCTCAGAGGAATCACAGGCAGTTCTACTAGGATCTGTCATCCTTAAGCAAGATAATACACGAGACTTCATGTTTACTAACTTCTTAATAGCGCTGGAAACCTTTTATAAAGGCAACTTCATGCCTCCACAATACACTTAATATCTACTGACTGAGGGCGAAGAAGGGAGGTGAGGTAGAGAAGTCAAATGCCTCCAGGTTAGTCAGTGAACAAAATCCATGGGCCAGGTCTCCTGCTTATTAACTCTCCCTTCACTTTACCCTTTGTCCTCTGAAGCTTTTGTTGCGTTGCCTTCCGTCTCTTTCCCACTGAAGGTACCTAGCTGCACGCTAACGATAAGAGACAACTCATTCACAACGAACAGCCACACTCTCCCTGGCAACAAGGTTCTAGGGTTTCCAGCTTCTCGCCAAGGCAACTCTTAAATAGAGGGAAAAAATTTTTAATTCATCTTATTCACAGTAAATTAAAAGGTTAACAAGAACGTAAACCCTCAGACACAACAGGCTGCCTATGCTGTTTGTCTCACAAAGTCCTAAGAGGAAGGAAGCTCAGAGCCAAGACAACTCGAAGCTCCAGAGAAATGTAATAATTTCTACCAACTGCAACGCCTTCACGCTGTAGTGTGGTAACAGATTGGAAAGGCAAACCAGAAACCAGAA